AGTTGTATTCTCAAAGAGTAGGTATAAATCACATAATTAAAATACATCACATTCAACATTAAGGCACTAAATTCACTAAAATGGTAAATAAAAACAGTATTCACATCAAACGAATACTGTAATCCATTATAATCACTCCTATTGGTGATAAATAGTAACAAGAGGAAGACCCTACAAAAAAAATGCAACCACGAAAACAAAATATCGTTTGTATCTTAGATTATACAGGGTGAGTCATAACTATTGGGAAATGGGTTGAGGGCGGATAGTTTGGACCAAAATATATCGATAGGACGGAATATGCCTTGATGAAATATTGCTCTTGAAAGAGATACATGTGTTGGATTTTTTTATATTTTTGCTGCGTGAATGAATCCTGATGATGAAATCGACTGATAACTTTGTTTGACGAAACTTTTTAGTGATTTTGATTAGAAAATATGACATAAAATTATGTTCACGTAATATTGGTACTCTTGTTCGAAAACGATAATTTCGTCCGTTTTCGATGAAAACTCAATTGAACAGTTCAATCCTCGGAAGGAGAATTCAAATATTATTTCATTTGTGAAGAGTGTGCTTTGGACTGTCAGATAATTGTTGCTGGAGAATTAAATTTCTTGTCAGTGAATAAATTTTGGTGCGAGTTTATAGTTTATTTTGGATTGAAACGTCCTGTATCTTTTTCAATCAATATTTTATTTAGGCATATTTTGTCCTATCGCCATATTTTCGTTCAAACAATCCGCCCCTAGCCTATGTCCCAATAGTTATGACTCACCCTGTATACCCACGATATAATCTACGGTTGGTATTCGCAAAATATGGCTTTGATTAACGTTTTGTAAATAACTAGGGTCATTTATCGCTTTTTATTTTGCATATACCGCTTATTCAGAACTTGTAACAGTAGAATTTATCTTGGCAATAAAATGAATCTAGTAGATGAAATCCGAAAGTGATTTTTAATTTCAAATTGAATGTATGAAGCATTCTAGTGAATTCAAATCTATGATTGGAGCTTATAAGATATTCGAGGAACATCATAAGATAATAAATATAAAAAGCAGCCAAACATTTTTTAAATCAAAAAACGGTAAAATCAATTGGGCCCTTTATTGTTTTCTTATGTTTCGATGAAGAATGAACTAAGCACCAAGAACACAATTCTACGCATATTTTTTTCAACAGCCAGTATCGGCAACATATCGTCAAGTAATAATTAAGAACCACTATTTTCCAAACTGGAAAATATTATATTCAGTAAGCGTTCCCGAAATTGGAAGAGAATTTTTATTGCAAGTCGATTCTGGATTTTGCAATGTTAGCAGCGATAAAACGTTGTGATGTTTTATTGGTCAATTCGAATTGGTTAGCTACCATTAATTGACCAAAATCGCCTAGCAATAAATCCAGCTCGAGTCACATACAGAATCATGAGGTTCTGTTGTCAATGCCGCTGTCCTCTGAAATCAACACGTGATATCAAAAGTAAATAGACATACTTTATACCGATAATAGATATTTAGATTGTACCCACCGCAACCGACTTATGGAATGTAAAATTCTCAGATTTAATTCAATAATTCTCAACATTGACCCCCTATACTATATGTCTAGAGTCGTTACTATCGAAACAAGGTCTGCAAATTTCTGCACGCTCCATACTGACGTCACGTTATGTAGGTATACCAACGGATCGAGACACTACGCCTATGGAGTTGGTTGTCACAAATTTAGACCAATCAAAATACACGAAAGTTGCTTTTGTAGTGAGCATCAGAATTCTTTCTGTATTCGCGATAGAAAATATCGTCGCCCCACCTGACGGGACAACTGAACACTTCGGAGCGGTTTGTTTTGATGGATGTGACCAATAAACACAAAAAAAAACAAATGTGAACCAATGAAATAGTAAACAGACCACTTTGACAGCTTTGAGACACTCCAATAGGTGGCGTACGCTTATTTTCTATCGCGAATGAAGCGTTTTGGTACAGGGTGATTCACCAATGTCCCCCTAGCTAAATCGGAACAGATACGAGGTGAACAAGAATTCTGAATCTCGAACCACCCTGTATTGTTCCAATTAAATGTCAGTAGATAAAACATCCAAAGGTTGAGATAAAACATGCGAGTCGTTTTGACCAATAATGAAAAGTTTAGACACAAACAAATCCTAAAATCGAAAAAATCTCGATTTTGAATACCCTATATCTCTGTAAACATTCCTGCTAGACCTCAAGTATGATATATTGATGAAATCAGCTCTTCAGGGAGAATATTAAAATGCAATGAAAACGAGGGTGTTCCATTTAAAAAAATCAACTAGTACCCTGTCGATCGTTTGTTCCGAGCGCCTTGTATCTTATTATGTAGTGGATTGAAAATTTCTGAGAAATCATTTCAGATGATTTTTCAAATTTTGAAATCGGATCAAAAATAAGTGAGCTAGAGGGAAAGGGGCATTTATGGTGAATCACCCTGTACATGTTTCCGCCAGGAATACAATGGTCTTGAGAATATCGTACCGACCTATGGGCCAGAGGACCCGGGTTCGAATTCTCTTCCAGACACTTTTTTTTGTTTTTTCGAGTGATTTAGTGAAAAAAATACCGTGGAGGCATTTAAGGACCACGCGCACTGAATCGACTCGGATCGGTCAGATCGGCTCGGCACGGTCGGCACATCAACTTATACCGCGCACTGAATCGGCAGTATCGGCACATTGAGCATGTCTTCAGCAGCCATTTAGTACAATCTGATTTTCATAAACTAGAAAATTAGTTCAACTGAATCCGAGGAAGATATTAGGATTGCCTCAACATGCAAAGAGATAAAAAAACTGAAACCAAGGTTCTGATCCATAACGACCTATGGAACCGTATGGAACCTATAGGAATGTTGTCGTGGTAGTAACTTTTTTGAGGATAATACAACCTGGTAAATTCCCGCTGATTTTCAAACAACAGGTCGCCAGAAATAACTTTTAATTTGCATCTTCGTTCATAGTTCATACACCTCTTTGTCCCAATCGGCACTTTCGGCAGTTTTTGCCCCTTCAAGAATTCTCTGCCGATGCCGAGACGATCTGGCCGATCTGAGCCGATCGAACCGATTCAGTGCGCGGCGATGCATTAGGTTACATGCATAGCAAAACGTGCCGAGCCGAGTCGACCGATCCGAGTCGATTCAGTGCGCGTCCTCCTTACTGTTCTGGCCGATAATGATTCGCTCGTTCGGAAATGTTCTGTAGACCTGCTAACAAATTCGAATTTACCTTCATATACAGTGCTTCCGTAAAGTACTGAATGAATTAATTTTTAGCCACACTATCCATTTCTGAGCAAATTCCTGAGACAGATCAATTTTGATCGGAGTTATGACGTCCACGACCATTTATTCAAACACCCTATATATTTTCAAATTTTTGTAATCTCCATGGGAAGCTGAATTGGAAAATATATTACTCACAGGGTTTGTATACAGTGCGTCAGTGTAATTGACTGATCTCGTGAACTAGTAGAGGTAAATTTGTTGAAAATTAAATCAATAATTTTTTAAAAGAACGCTCGAAGTCAAATTTTATTTTCATTCGGATATTCTTCCAAATTCATTCAATATATACAGAATAATTCGTGTATCAATAACTACATCATTGGTATATTTTTAATGACAACCCCATTTTACGAGCACTGAATTTTTGAAATCAGCTTCTCATGGAGACTCCGAAAATTGATCAATATAGAGGGTGTTCGTTGAAAAAAAATTGTCGCGGGAGTCATAACTCAAACGTGCATCACCCTGTGAATTCAATTTCTCCGTATAAATATGGCAAAATGAGAATCAGACTCAATATGTTTCAGGAGATTCCTCAGAAATGGAGGGTTTGGCTGAAAATGAATGTATCCACTAGGTAACGTTCCTTAAAACTGTAAAGTCTGTGATTTTTTAGTAGTGTTTATAGTTTATGTCCCTAGCCAACCCTAGCCGATGGCATACCTTAGCTGACGTCAGACTATGAAAACGTCAGAGCTTTCAAACTTCTTTGTATGGTAACGTTAGGGGCCGCTTGCATAAATCCTTTCGTGAATTTAGTGAGTGAATCACTCTCAGCTGAGGCATACATTGTCATAGATATATATTATCTGCCTGATAAATGCTCCTTCGTTTTTCGTAATTTTATGAAATCGGTACTTTGTTTTTCCCGTATATATTTGCACCACACTTAAGGTTATCCGAATAGTACCTACTCAACATATTATGAAATGAAAATTTCAATATTTTCCTGAGTGAAATTTCCTATAAAAAATTCAAAATTATTCGGGAGAATTTTGAAACAAACATAATTGCAATATCGGATAGTTTTTATTTACAATTTCAACGATACCGAGTTTGATTTGGGAACGTTGAAGGACAACGAGGGTATGTGCAAAAACATCTATTTGCCACCAAAGGTGCTTTCACTAGAAGAATCTATCCGAAAATGTTATAATTCATAGGGTGTTTCCAATTAAACGAATTAAAAACATGTCAAGATTTGGACATACGCCGATGTGTTCTTAAAACCAGAGTAGATATAAAACTTTTAGATTTGCCATTTTAGTTTTTTCTTCAAATAACCATGTGACCATGAAATTTTGTTGATTTTTCGAAAATCTGTCAAGCAGTGTTTAAGGGAATTAAAAAAACACGTGTTTTTTTTTCAAAAACTGTCCAAAGCATGATGGTTGTTAAGGTTACTATGAATCAATTTTCTGTCAATTTTTGAATGTCTTTCTTCTTCGAAGGTTTACACAAACTTTGTCGGGTCGGAACCACAGGTCGGATCATATGAGATCAGATTCCATTCGATTCATTACAAAATAATGTTTATATGAATAAAAGATTGACAACACCAAAGCTTTCATAGGTCAATATACCCTTACCATAATTTTTTTGCCACATGAGATGATTGGCACTATTTGAGCATATAATTCAATATTCACAAAACTTTCAAATTAGACAATTATCGTCGGAGCTTCCGCCGGTGGAGTCTCAACGCCAGCCTTCCTAAAACTCAGCTGATGATTTTTAATAGGTGGATCCACCACCATAACGGGAGGAGTGCTCTCAGGCTGTGTAAGGGGTGGTAAAGCCAAAACAAACTTATCATCGATTTTGAGCATCATATTGGCATGTTTCTGATCCAATTTCTGCGTTTCCTTGGCCCTTGTATGAGGCAGAGCATACCTCAGTTTATTCCAGAACCACGGCTTACCCCACTCCACGTAAGTGTTGGTTTTGAGGTACATTTTCAAATCGTCGTCTAGTTTCTCCTCGTTCAAATTTCCGTACTTTATAACAACGAGCCTAGTTCTACCCTCTTCGATGGTCTGAGTGTGAGCAGTCCTGAATTCTAACTTACCCCAACTACTCTCTAGGAAGTTGTTTGATAGCACCACTAAGGTTCTCTTTGAGTTCAGCACCGAGTTATTTACTGATGTTAGGATGAATTCTCCTGGTAAAAAGTCTCTTACGTGAATACAGACCTTAAAGGGATTAGGACCGTCTTCCAGCACTGGAAGAAGATTCTGCATTACAAAGTCTTCATCTTTGTGTGAGTAGCATATAAAGATGTCGTATTCTTTGTCCTTGTCCAATTCCTCTTCAGTGACAAACCATAGGCACAGGTTATTTGCATACATCCAGATTTTAATTTCTTGCTTGAAGAATGCATAAATAGCCGTAAGGGCAACGATGAAAAGGATGAATAAAACAATTGGCAAAGTAATTTGCAGAATAAGAACTGAGGGTGTACACAATACTTTTTTATCCATCAGTGGCTTGTTGTCTTCCTTACAAAGTACATTTGTCCATCCATTAACCTGAAAATTATTTATTCAGTGCAAAACATTTTCATCATTTTATTGCATTAATATCAGACTAATAATAAAAATAATGTATCAAAAGAGTTTCAACTTGTCATGTAATAATGGATAGTTGTTTTTGGTTGCATTAAACAAATAACAAACACAAAACCAATCATTTTTATTAAGAAATATTATCCTCTGTATATACCAGGTGTCCACGTAGTGTGGAAAAGCTCTATAGCTCTAGTGTTATAAGAGATAGACAAAATTTGGGGATATGGTACAATATCGTTAGGTCTACAAATCAAAATTATTTTGATCTCTACAGGATGATTTGTGAGGGCTACACGAATTGATTTTTTTAAACGGAACACCCTGTATTTTCTCAAATATTTTGATTTGTTATCATCTGCATAATTATTACAAAGAGGGTCAGTTTAACAGTTGAAATAATCCGACCGTGAAACGGGAGGATTATTCAGGTAATCTGACACGATTTGTAATTTTTGTGCAGGAAGTTTGAGATGTATAACCTTGAAGAATTTGAAGTTCGAATTGTATTCGATTATTTTTTGAGTAGTCTGAAAGAATGTCAGAATTTGACGACGCGCTTTGTTTGTATGTAACAATAGGTATGTTCCTTTCTACACCGAATTGTTAGACATCAGTGTTGAAAAAAAAAACGCAGTTATTTGACATGACAATCATAACTGTTTTTTTCATTATTTATGTTTCTATTCATGATTTGACGGTGATGTGGGTTGTTTTCAATTCAATTCATCCATATTTTTTCTTAGGCAAATAGCAAACAGCTTTCAAATACAATATTTTGTTTTTTAGTTTTTTGAGGTTATGCTGTCGCTGTCTTTTCGGAAACCACCGAAATTCGTCCACCATCCCTGTACATCGGTGGAATAGTTTGCAATTTTGGTTGACACAACAGTAATAAATGAACGCGTGGTTACTTCAAACTAGAATCCACCAAAGGATATATGAAAACAGTTGGTGGATTGATAAAACCCCCGGTGAATAAAAGAACGTCCCTAATATGAATGAGTTACTATGAAATTGGAAATAATTTCAAATTTCTGATTAGTGAAGCTACTCTATGTATATCCATGTATATTCGAAATTATACAAGGTAGCTTAATTCATTTGAACGTTCTGATTGGTTTAAAATCATACAAAAAAATATCACTAGAATACATTCAGTTGACTACCCCATCTCTGCTACCCCTATCGATTCTTACCTTGTGAGAGTTTGCTCTGATGAAGTTTTGAAGATCAAAGGCAATGCAACCACAATCCCAAGGATTGTTAGTCAAAGTTATATTTCTTAATGTCGAAGAATTACTCAGCTGTTTCAGTACAGAGGATTTGATGTGTGTTAGACTGTTTCCATCCAATTTAAGCACCTGCAACAACAAATTTGAATATTCAATAATCCTAGTTAATTTTGTTCACTTACTTGGATTTTTGGGGAAACCCATTCCATTTCCTCTAGCCTGTTGTTAGATAAAAACAGATTTGTAATATTATTGTACTGTGCACTAACATTCGGACTGTGGTCTAGCATATTGTTAATCAAGTTCAACTCAATTCTGTCAGCCTCAAATCCAATAACGGGCCATTCCTTCAAATTTCTGCCTGCACATTCAACCACAACTGTTTCATCAAATGGTCTTCTAAAACACTCACAATCCTCAGGACAACCTTTTGGCAAGTATGGACAACTTATATGTCTTGGTTTGAGATCAGTTATCCGAATGTGTTGGAAAGACTGTGGTTCTGCACAATGGCTATCTCCCAACTTCATTGTAAGGTAAGAACTCGTTATAGGAAATGCACCATCAAGATACTGTATCAAACCAAAGTTAAGACAGTCGCAGGTCAATACATTATGTTCTAGGTCTACTACAATTAGGCTTCTGTTTTCAGGATAGAGAAAGGAGATCCCATCGAAATCTATATAAGATATGATGTTGTAGGTCAAGTCAATATTCAGTCTAGATAGTGCCATTAAATGTAATACCTAAAAAGAAAGAATACAAATTCACTATCAAATAATCACTTTCCTCACAAGACAAGATGAAACAATATTACTACAGGAACAATAATACTTGTTCAGATTTGTCCTTTGACATTTTTTTTCAATTATGCATACATATTTTATAGTTTTTTATTCTTAGTATTCTCCCAATTTTGTTCAAAGACGGGATTGTTCAAATTGAATCTCACAATCCCATTGCAACATTTGCTCTTCGACGAGATGGCATCTTAGATAAGAAATCTATTTTGAAGTTTCAATCGTCAACTTATTTTTTATAAATAGGGATCTGTCATTCTTTTAATTATGCAAGGTTCTTATATTGACCACTTCACTCATCACATAATCTGACCAATCACAAGCCAGATACAAGTTTTTCAATTCTGATTGGTCTATCAGTGTTGATGTTTTCAATGATGTAACCATGGATAGTGAAGCAAAGTCTGTCAGTTTGACATAAAATAATTATAGGAGTCAAGTCATAATTCTTGTCGGTTACTCAACCGAAAAGATACATATAATGATGAAGATGGAAAGCCCTAATTTCGAGTGATAACGGAAAATGAAAAAACTCCACCGCCCCGTGTGAGAGTCGAACTCACAACCTCTGGGTTACATGCCCAACGCTCTGCCAATTGAGCTAACGTTGTCTCTCGAAATTAGCGCTTTCCATCTTCTCCATTATAAAATAATTATGGCTGTACTTATCAGAATAAATCACTCATTTTCAATCAATGCTTTTTATGCTTCGTGAACGTGAAATAGCCAGCAAAATACCACCCTGTTCTGAATATCTTCTCATAATTCTGTCTTTCATTGCTAAGCGACAGAATTATCTCGAATATTCAGAACATCGTGGTATGACTCATGACAATGATGGAAGTAAGATATGGTGTAATTACTGATGCGCTTTTGTTTCAGAAATTTTACCCGACCTCTCGAGAACAGCGAGGGCAATGGTTCCGTAAATCTTCTAATAGATGGCGACATTGCAAAATTATGACATCTGTCAGTTTTGAAATTGTCGCAGATTTTTCGAATTCAGAGTTGAATAATCCCACTGTTACATATGTTCCGCGTACCTAAAATGCCATTTACCATTTTATTTCCACTCGTCACAGCAGCAATAGCAGCATCACCATCTAGCGGGAAAACGTAGAATCAACGTCTCGCTCGTTGTGACGTAGTAGAGAAATCATAGTAGGCGGTCGAGTGATTTTTCTGAAATTTTCAATACGTAATAATGGCCGAATACGCGCACCATATCTTACTTCCATCATTTTTATGACTATTTCACTCATCACATAATCAGACCAATTACAAGCCAGAGACAACGTGTGCTTATCGCGAATATTCCCCTCATATATCGGTAATTGCACTGCAGAGCGAAGATTGCACTGCGAAGAGATCCCGTCGCCATAACAACACATTTATAAAGCCATGTCACTAGAAGGCAGTAAACAATACAAATAAATGTCAGACGGACTTCAAAAAGTGGAAAAAATGTGAGTGCTCCAAACATTCTATCTAGGAGAGAATGAATGAAAGTTAACCAAATAAATACCAAATCCAACAGACAAAATTCCTTACTTCGTGAAATATTCCAATGAATTACATTCGTGCATAAAAATTACCAGACATTTTTGCATTTAAGCGTGTTATCTTATACAAATTGCATTCGTTTATTTTCATATTTTGTATAAGAGACCCCCTCCTTTGAACTCTGGATCCTTCGCCAAAATATAAAAATAAACTCCTGCAATTTTTAGATAACACGCTTTCTTGCAAAATTATTGGTAATTTTTATGCAATCCTGCAATTATAATCGAAAACAATAGCTGTTTTTCAATTCTGATTGGTCTATCAGTGTTGATGTTAACTATGGATAGTGAATGAAAGTCTGTCAGTTTGGCATAAAATAATTATGACTGTACTTGTCGGAATGAATCATATTTATAATAAAAGCTTTTTCCGTCGACCTCGTATTAACGAGAATGCACGATTGTTTTATAGGCAACCAAACATACACCGGAATCTACATTTAAATCTAAAATATGGATTTCATCGAAGATTTTCCGTTAACGGGTTCGCCTTTCCAAGTTTCTGAAACGATTCTAATCCCTGTTTTCTAACACAAGGAATTTATTTTCTATGTTGATCATTTCGACAAATGTCAAATGTCACTAATCTCAGTAACAAGGCTACTGGATGATTCTTAGTAGTTTCCGGATGAATGATGAATTCGCGAACAGAGTTTTCTTCATTGCAGGATAAATGAGAAATATAGTGGACGGAAAAATTTTGTAACCAACTCGTATATTAAAAGGCGATTAATACACCAGTTGTTTAAATAACTATTTATGCTTCGTGAACGTGAAATAGGCTAGCAAAATATCACTATGTTCTGAATATTTTCTCATAATTCTGTCTTTCATTGTTAACTCAATTGTGTTGCCGGCAACATAATTTCGTGAACAATGAAGCGACAGAATTATCTGGAGTATTCAGAACAACGTGATATTACATATGACAAAGTTCAACCCAAACCAATAATATTACTATTTACAATATTAATGAAGTATGAATTATCTCCAATCAGGGCAATTAAGTCCTGTAATGAACCGATCTACTTACTTTTATGTCCTGTATCCGATTTTTACTCAAATTCAGTGACTCTAGATGCACCATATTCAGAACATCATATGGAAATGTGGTGATTTGGTTTCCACTCAGGTTCAATTCTTCCAAATATGTACAATGTGAGAACGGATTGTAGTTGGTGTTTAATTCAATGGTATTATTTGACAAGTCCAAAGAAATCAATCGATTAACATTATCAAACGCACTATAGGTTACTGTCGATAATCGATTGTTATTCAATACAAGTTTCTTCAGATTCTTTGCATTCAATGTGTTTTCATTTATAGTAGATAACAAATTGTCTTCCAAATTGAGCTCTTCTAAAAGATCAGTGCTGGAGAATATTCCTTCAGGCAGAGAACTAATTCTATTTGAAGAAAGATTCAACTTTTTCAATTTCTTTGACTCCTTGAAAATTCCCACCGGCAGTTCTTCTAGAAGATTATTTTGCAAGTCTAAAATTGCGATATTAGTGGTACCATCAAATATGTTTTCTGGAATAATATGCAACTTTGAATGTCCCATATACAATTCTGTGAGATCCTTCAAGTTAGCGAAGCATTTATCAGCTAATGTGAGGTTAGAATTGTTATTGATATGGATTTTCTTCAAATGTGAATTGTTTCTAAATAGGTCTGAGCTCACGTGGCCCAAGTTGTTTCTACGCAGACTGATATTGATCAACATTGGGAGTTTTGAAAATGCGTAGGGCTCTATAGAAGCGATCTTGTTAGAACTCAGTTCCAATGATCTCAGATTTTTCAGTCCTATGAAAGAATCGTTTGTCAGCACAGTGAGTTGATTTTGCCACAAATGCAATCTCTGCAACTGAGTGAGATTTTTGAATAGTTCATCGGGTATCTCCTTGATGGAAATACGTGGTAAATACAATTCTAGAAGCTGCGGAGTGTGCTTGAAGATGTATCCGATTTCTTTCAAATTGCTTCCGTTCAGATCGAGGGTAGTGAGATTAGGAAGATATTGGAGAAAATCTTCATCAAAAGTGGTGTTTCTCAAATTTATTATTCCAAGGTATTGCAATGAAGACATATCCCGAAAAAAATCTTTCGTGATTGCTACTTCTGATAAGGAATCAGGCAGTGGATCTTCTATCTCAAATTTGTTCAATTTGTTAATGCCAAATTTATGTATGAATGGCTGGAACCCTTCATCAGGTAGGGGGCAATTATTCATATCTAAATACTCTAGATTCCCAGCAGTGTAATTGGGATATATTTCCAAATCGAAATGATCCGAGGGATAGCACTCGACCCTCATGAACGTTTCTGGTTTTGTATGTATAACAACACTGAAATTTGACTTAGGGCATTGGAACTCGTATTCATATGGCGAGTTTATGCAGCCACACAAATCATTATTTTTGCATTGATTGGTTGGGGATGAACCAAGAATAGGCGTATTCCCAAATAAAATGAGGAGAGCAGCTAGATGTCTCATTGTGCCTGAAACAAAAAAAAGTCTTATATGCTTTGAAAAGGAATATTCTCAGATATATTTATGAACACATAAAAAAGGATCGATAATTCGCATTCTCCATGTGATGAAAATATTAATTCTTTCTCGGTTTATTCAACAGAAAACAACTACTTTCCTGGCTATATACCACGATGAATATTGAATTACATCTATTGAGCACACACGGTAAGAATTCGAAAACAAAATCTTCTGAAGTAGAGAATTTGTATTCTCATTCATATAAAGATATGCATATAATATCATTCTGAATATTCAACAGAAAACAACTACTTTCCTGGCTATTTGCCACGTCGAACATTGAATTATATCTGTTGATTATCCAAAAAGAGCATGCAAAATCAAAATCCTCTGAAATTGAGAATTGTCATTATCTCTCAGATTGTATTATATTATATTTTTATATCATATTATTATAATATATTTTTATATCATATTATTATATTCTAAAAGAGTGCATTCACTCCTATTCAAGATATTTTGAAAGTCAAACATTGGTACCAAATCTCCTATCTATGTCTGACTGTCCGTGGACTTTTATATGTTATTTCTTATCTATTTTATCATATGTCAATGAAATTTTTGTAAAAGTATATACACCGTATTTTTATTTTCTTTATATAGCATCTATTTTCGTATTTGAATTTTATCCAATTCGTACTTTACCTGTAGGTACTATGCCAAATATTTATTTATTATTTTCGTCCTCATGTAGTTTACAGCTTGTGTTCTTTTTTTCGTATACTATTTTGAATAGAGCTATGATCAATACAGTACTTTTACTATTTTTATTGCAGTTATTAATATTATATCTGTATTGTAAGTAGGTCTATATTACAAATATTTTATTTTGTCAATTCTGAAACAAGTGTTTTCACACTTATCGGTTTTGCTGCTTTGTTTTTTTATTGTGATATCGTGAGTCTGTGATTTTGTGTGAATAAAGAAATTATATTATTAAAAAAATTATTATGTTGCGAACAATTTACAGTAGTTGATGGCTTTTCAAGCCAAACTGGAAATACCAAAGCTGGTGTGCCCCAAGGCTCAGTCCTTGGACCCCTACCATATACATTACATGTTCTGTCTTTGAAATCTGCCAACATTACAGGTAGATCCTTTAAATTCGCAGATGATACTGTTCTTGTATATGTACAGTGTGTCCCACTTACCATTCTCGGTGAGAGATACGAGGTCGGTTAAATGACACCAAATGTGGAGTTTGTCAAGGCCAACTATAATGTGAAAAAATATTTTGATAAAATCTATTCGTTTTTGTTTTATACGCAAAAAACAGATTTTGATCATTTTCATGTCTCCTCCGAAACTTCTTTATTTATGAAAATATTCAAATAGAAATTTCACATTCTCATGGCAGTTTATCAAAGTGATTTCGAAAAAAATATGAAATTTATACCAACTCTTCTTGAATTTGAGATATCAGCACCAACTTTAGTTTTTCAAATGTAGGTCATAGCTCACTATGACTTAGTACAATTTTTTTTTTTCTCTTACAGATGATATGTCGCAGTAATAGTTTTGTGTTGATAACAACGGAGTTATCGTCATTTATACAAAAACAAATAATTATTTGGAAGCCGCCATCTTGAATCCATCAATTTTAACAAAAAAATCATGCTCTTCGACCTCAAAAACCCCCACTTACCAATTTTGAATGGAATCGGACCAAATCTTGTCCGCCATCTTGGAGCAAGACAAGATTTGGTCCGATCCCATTCAAAATTGGTAAGTGGGGGTTTTTGAGGTCGGAGATCATGATTTTTTTGTTAAAATTGATGAATTCAAGATGGCGGTTTCCAAATAATTTTTTGTTTTTGTATAAATGACGATAACTCCGTTGTTATCAACACAAAACTATTACTGCGACACATCATCTGTAAGAGAAAAAAAAGTTATTTGTAACTAAGTCATAGTGGGCTATGACCTACATTTGAAAAACTAAAGTTGGTGCTGATATCTCAAATTGTAGAAGAATTGGTATAAACTTTTTTTTTCGAAATCACTTTGAAAAACTGCAATGAGAATGTGAAATTCCTATTTGAATATTTTCATAAATAAAGAAGTTACGGAGGAGACATGAAAATGATCAAAATCTGTTTTTTGCGTATAAAACAAAAACGAATTGATTTTATCAAAATATTTTTTCTCATTATAGTTGGCCTTGACAAACTCAACATTTGGTGTCATTTAACCGACCTCGTATCTCTCATCGTTAAAAAGATACCCATGGTGAGCATGGTTAGTGGGACACACTGTATAAGGGTACCGACTTGAAATACCTTGAAAAAATAGTCAATACTGACCCTGAAAGATATCACAGATGGCTTGCAAAAAATAACCTTCAGATCAATGTAAAAAAGACTATTTTTAACATTTCCTCTCAGAAAAACATGGAACTACAAGACATAATAGTGGAGATAGGGGGCATAGAAATAAAGAGAGTACATAGTACTAATAAGTATTTAGGACTTGTCGATGAAACCATATAGAAAAGAAAGTGATTCCAACGGTTAGTGCTCTGTATCGTTGTGGAACCTACTGGGTGTGTATAATTTGGGGACTGGAATAAAATGCTGCAGACGGTTATTTCCAGAAAACAAATCGTTGTGTTCATTGCATATCTGGATTGAGCTCATCGAACTACACGATAAAAAGTTTCTGGTCCTTTTCACTGCCCCTCCTGGGGAGCACTTCACTCGTGCGTTTGTTTTTTTTAAGAACCAAGGACGTCATGTTAGATCATGTCCAACTATTATAAATATTTCAAATGGCGACCATTTTTGGACAAGCACTTTCCAAAAAACGGTTTTCCTACGAATCCAACAATACTAATTGATTTTACTTGGTTCTTTGGGATTTTCTCTCCTCGTTTCTATAAAATAAAAGTATTCGTATTATTTCAATATATTTGTAGAGGGACAAATCAGATGATTTGCCCCAAAATGTCACTGCGTTTAACAAATTTTTCTATCAGGGAGTCTAAAAGAAAAATCCAGTAGCTTGTCAGTGACAATTTGTTTGAAAAAATTTTTGAAGGAAAGAAATATAGATATATTGAAAAAATATCGAATTTGTACTTATCTTTGGACGTTTCGGGACCTATTCTGCTCCCGTTCTCAACATGTAAATGCAAATTATTTTTCTTTGAAAGTTGTGCTGCGTATAGTTTGACACTTTTCAGTGTCATACTGATGTTGGCATATGAGTGATTTTAGTCTACAAATGAGTTACAGGATGTTTTCATTAATTGATCTTGAATCTACCATTTTCATGTTCAGTTTTCAGTAGTGAATACCATGTTCTATCAATATCAACTGAACAGGAAGCAATGCTATTGTCTCCGTTTAGAAGAATGCAAGCGGATTCCTTTATTTTTCTTTTTTGTTTGTTATCTTCCTTTCCTATGATTTTGATATTATTCCACTGAAAACTGAACATGAAAATGGTAGATTCAAGATCAATTAATGAAAACATCCTGTAACTCATTTGTAGACTAAAATCACTCATTCATATGCCAACATCAGTATGACACTGAAAAGTGTCAAACTATACGCAGCACAACTTTCAAAGAAAAATAATTTGCATTTACATGTTGAGAACGGGAGCAGAATAGGTCCCGAAACGTCCAAAGATAAGTACAAATTCGATATTTTTTCAATATATCTATATTTCTTTCCTTCAAAAATTTTTTCAAACAAATTGTCACTGACAAGCCACTGGATTTTTCTTTAAGACTCCCTGATAGAAAAATTTGTTAAACGCAGTGACATTTTGGGGCAAATCATCTGATTTGTCCCTCTACAAATATATTGAAATAATACGAATACTTTTATTTTATAGAAACGAGGAGAGAAAATCCCAAAGAACCAAGTAAAATGAATGTACCACCTCCTCGATTAACCTACAGACAGTATTTAATACTAATTGATTTGCAATTGGATTGAAAATAAGAATAAATTAGATATTACTAAGAAAAATACTGGACAATGTTACCTTCAAGTCTTCTTTGGAAAACAAAACACTCTTTTAGGTAATTACAGTGATGTAACCAGTGAGGTAGTCGTGAAAACTTTCAAATATGTTATAGTCTGATCCAAAATTGTCTCAGAAATCCGAGGATATCACAATAAACAGGGTGTTTCATTTGAAAATTCAAAACCATGGCCATTTTCTGTGGAACCGGTAGTAACAAGAAAGTGAAAAATAAAGGAACTCTCTTCTTCACACACCTATCATTCACCAATACAAAATTTCATTTTGATACACCTAATATATTCTACAAGTTATGACTTGTCTAATTGATTCGTTGACATCAGGTACTATGTATATTTTATAGCACACAAACTCACCCAGAATCTGTGATATGTGTTTTGGAATAGTTAAATCATGTGATGCACCTCAGAATATGAAGAAATGATAATTCACTAGCACTGTCTCATTTCTCAACCACACCACTAACAAGACTGAAGACTGATAAATCAAATTATCAAAGAATTATGGAATAACGGAATTACTGGAATTACCAAAGATGTACCCCCATTAAACTACCTGTACAGTAACAACAGGGGTGTTCACACAAGTGGGTTCATCTAGGTACAGGAAGTAATTATTAGAATATTATCATCATGGATTTGGTTTTCTCCAGATTAAAGGATCAACGGGGGACTAGGATGATTTTTGTTCATATTTAAAAAGAAAATCAGAATGTGCTAGTTCATTATTTTGGTTTAAAAAATATGATGTAAGAACAGCAAAACATCTATCACATTTCAATTTGAGATAATATCACGTTCTGAATATTCGAGATAATTATGTCGCTTTATTGTTCACGGAATCGTGTTGCCGAGCAACACCACGAGTCCATCAAATACAGAATTTTGAGAAGATATTCAGAACAGAGTGGTATTGTGCTACACTATTTTACGTTCACGAAGCATAAAAAG